AGAGAGAGAGAGAGAGAGAGAGAGAGAGAGAGAGAGAGAGAGAGAGAGAGAGAGAGAGAGAGAGAGAGAGAGAGAGAAAAAAGTAGATAGATAGAAAAGGGGAGAGAAAAAGCAAATCGAAGTCGTCATTTAAAAAAGGAAAGTGCATAATGCACTTCATCGGCGCCAATACAAATTCAAAGATGACGGAATTATCCGTCCGGGCAAACGGCAACAGCCTACGAGAAACCCAAAAAAAAAAAATTAACGGCGATGTCACTGGAGGACTCATCCACCCAATTGGACCACCACCCACTTCCCTGGCCAGCACGGCCAATCGGAAACCGCCACGTCCGCGACGCGCAGGCGACGGGTACATCGACGACGGCACCGCTATCACTTTCGCGTCGTGTGGACGATGGAAGCGACGAGGCGCACAACAGAGGCGACACGAACTCTGACGCTCGCGGATGGCCTTCGCTATCTCCAGCAGAGCGTGACACATCAGTTTGCTAACTTCGTCAGACGCTGCGTAGTGTTTTTTTTGCACTTCGACCTCCGCTTCCAATGCCTCGCACTGGCGGATTTGGATGGAGCACTGCCGTTTGCTGCTGTTGTCCATCGACGACGCCACGAGAGCCCCGTGCTTCTCCATGCATTCTGTCATCGCTTCAAAAGTTTGCTGCCTCGTGCTCTTCCTTTTGGCGAAACCAGCAGGGTTTCCCGTTGTCTGAGAAGAACCTCTAGTCGACCCGTCGTCATCGTCGTCGTGCCCTGCAGCAGCGTACCCATCACCTACAGATTCATGATCCGCAGAACTGGCGGACGGCAGACGCACACCACCCGGAACACCAGTGTCGGCGACGTTCTTCGGGTTTATGGTGTGGCTCTTTGCGGTCGACCCCAGGATCTCGTCGTAAACCGCACGATCCATGTTGAAATTGAAGCCCTTCGACAACCTCTCTTTCCCAAAGAATTGGAAGAAGTCCTGTTTCCCGGACAAGCCTTGGAGGTGATGCACCTTCTTGAACTTCTGCATCAAATTGTCCCACTTCTTCCCACACCGTTCTGCTTCTCTGTCGACGCCCACCTTCTTCAACCTTTGCTCCACATCCAACCACTTCCATTCTCGCGGCTTCATACGAGCGAACGCGGTACCCATCCCCTGCAGATGCGAGTCCTGGTCACGTTTAGCCCGGATGAGGGCTATCATGTTGTCCACGGACCAGAACTGACGACCTCCTTCTGCGTTAGCGTCAGCTTCGGCATCGCTCCCCTTCCCCACCGCTATTTCCCCCCAACGACCATTGTGAGCACACGCCCTCGTCTTCCCGCCCCTCCCTTTCATGCTGCTTTGCTTGAACGGCGGTACGTGGCCTGCGTCCTCCTCCCCACCTTCGCCGTGTTCGTTGTTCCACTCCTGATCATTTGGGCCCACCGCAGGTGCATTGCCGTCGTCTTCGTGCTCCCCCACACGCAGTCGCTGCACCCCATGAGTTATGGATTCCTCCCGCCGTGGATGAAGCGTCTGTCGTTGTTCTGCCCACACCTCCCTCCCGTCGTGTGCATCACCAACGTCGTCGATGCCACAATCAGTCTCCCCGAATTCGCCTCGACGACGGGCTGCAGTCGAAGTGGTGGACAGGGGAGACGGTGACTGGATCCACAGGGGCCGAGCTGAGGTACCCCTCGACAAAGACGGCGTTCGGTATTGCTGCCTCGGAGGATCCCTGTTGTTCCCCGACGCCTCCCGGACCGGCGCTGGAGACTTCGAAGACCACGCAACAGCTGTCACCTTCCCGACGTCGTCGGCGGGATGGTTGTCGACGATCACTGTTTGCGAGGCGGCCTACGACCTCCCGCTACACAGCCCGAACGATAGATTGACGTCGCCGTTGCCTTCATCGCCACTCAGCCCCTGCTGGAGGAGTTGGGTGTACGACTGGTCATAACCGCCGTCATGGCTTCCACAGACCTCCGTAGCTGCCCACTCCTGGGTGGACCCGCTTCCCAGCGGCACGGTCTGTGACAGTTGTCGGCGCGAATACCCTTACAAGGGTATCCGCCGTGGTTTTTGCAAGTGACAGAAGGTAAGGTTTGTTCAGAAGTTGAGTATACCGTGCAGAGTTGCGGTTGTGTTTGGTTCGCGTTGACTGAATGGTTGACGGGGAGTAGAGTGTGTGTGGGCGCGCAGTTTTAAGGCGCGCGTGATGAATTTTATTCTTGATGTCATAGAGTCGGCGTTTCTGCCGGCAAAATTTTGTGACCTTGATTAAAACAAGGATTTTTTTTTTTTTTTTGAAGTAACCATGGTATGTCTGCGGCATGCGTCATCGGAAGTGGTGTTGCTTTGGGCAGTGACTGGGGTGTGCGAGAGAAAGTAGAACGCAGGCGGTGACCTCCGCGCGGTAGATACGGGAGGTTGACGGTCGTAGACGGAGTCAGGCCCTATGAGCAGCAGGTGTCATAGGTCGGCAGTCGCGAGCTTGGTCCGTGGGCAGAGGAGTAGCCGTGATGTATTTTGGTAGCACCGCGTGCCGTGCGGCAACAGGTTATATTGAAGTTTGCAGTGGTTCATCTTAGCCTTGGGGACTAGCACTATTGGTAACGACATTGGACTCACAGGGCGGAGGTACAGGGATCAAGGGTGGCGACCCGTGGCAACAGAGCATTGGGGCGGTTGAAGTTGCCGAAGGGTTGAGAGCCCGGCGGGGCTATCCCCCCTTGGTTTCGTTGTCGGCCCATCCGTAGGCCCGGTCGGCGAAACTGAGAGTGGTACAGGCGGTCTCTTCCCCAGAGAGCACCGGTTCCCAATACTTATATCTTTTTTTTTCCCTCTATTATTTTAGTTGCCGGCCCTGTTTCTGGGATGCGGCACAAGCATCAGTACCAAGGTTGTTCGCAGGGTACCGCCCTGCATGGGCTGAAGGGGCCAGCGGTTGCGATCTCCGCAAAGTGGCCATCACGATCGTCGAGGACCTTGAGTACGCGCGCCTTTTGGCGGGCCAGTTTGGGTTTCTGCGTGTTCGGGACGCTGGCAAATTTTTTTATCCTGCCCGTCTGGAAACACGAACCAAGAAGTCGACGTGCATGCAGGCCTGTGGGTGATTAGCCCAAGGGGCGGAAGAAACCTGAGTGGCGGGGACACTCCGCGAGAGCACCATCCGCCAACCGGGGTCTGCAGTAGGACCCACGGGGTGGTGGAACAGGTCTGGGCGGCTGTGGCCGGGGTATACACCGCCCCCTAAACTCAGCCTGCTGCGAGAAGTGAGAGGTTTGAGTGTGAGCACGCTCATTGGGGACCTAAGATGGGGAGCTGTGCTACCCGCACAGCGGGGCAAGGGAAATGCCTTATTTATTTATTTTCAAGTCTTGAAGTTCTCGCACAATCTATGGGTGCACCGTCCGCCAACCGCAGTCTACTGTGTGAGGATTGAGTGTGAGTGTGCCCGGTTGGGGCCCGAAAAGGTGGTGAACCATGCCTGGGCGCAGCGGGGTCGGGCACACCAAGGGCGGACGCCGCTGCAGCGGCTGGTCACATGGAACCTGTCTCTGCTGCAGCCTCAAGGCTTTCACTTGAGAAGTTGCTACCACCACCAAGATCTGTTCCTGAACCTGCTTTACCCGAGCCCGCACTATGGATTTTATGGGCCGGCCCAACTCCCTCCTATTCGACACGGTGCCAGGGGTACCAGTGGGGGGGCTGCCGCAGTATTGGCTGTGTGGCGGGGCTGTCCCAGGGGTTGTTCCGTGGGGTGCCTCCACTCCTCGGCCTTCAGAGTCCCTTTTGAAATATATGCTACTACCACCAAGGTCTGCACCGGACCCGCTTCACTAGGCTATATGCTGTTGGTTGTGCAACAGGCCCGGTGCCATAAGCCCGTAGTGATGCCAGGATGCCACTGCGACCGTGTACGGGTCGCATGCTACAGCGGTATCAGCCTATGGGCCGATTGACTTGGCAGGTGAGTTAAAGTACTCTAAGCGGGCTTTCGACTCGTATGACTACCGATCAGCTGCCTGTGTCGAACTAGAGCCGTGTGGGGTACGGGTGAGTGCGCAGTTTAGCGGAGAAAGAAGGCAGAGGCAAGTGCAAAGGCAGCGGAGTGACGGGCACAGAGAAGCGGTAACAGGCATGGAAGGGGGCGCTGAGCAGAGAGGGAGTAGCCAGGGACTGAGCGGGCGGACGCAGTAGGAAGGATGAAAAGCAGCGTTGGGCAAACTGAGGCAACGCAGTGACGGGGGCTGAAGTTGGGAGGCGAGGCAGGGCCGAGGACAAGGGGCCAACGGCTCCCCTCCCCGACCTGTCTGTTTTTTTCTTTATTTCTAAGCTTTACCTTTTTTTTTTTTTTTAACGCTTTATTTTTTTTTATTTTTCTTATTCCTTACTTTTACCCCATTTTGGGGTACAGTCCGGCATCGGCCTTCCGGACCAGCTGGGAAGTCCAGCGGCCTAGTTCTGTGGATACACCCACGAGCTGCCGGGACACTTCTACCAAGCAACGGTCCTTCGGGACATCTGCAAAAACTGGGCCGATACAGAGAAGAATAGCATGGCCACCGTGCAATGTTGACATGCATAAAGTCGGGGGAGGGGCAGCCCGACGTGCCTTGTTTCCAATGAGATACACAGTAGTCGCCGTGGCTGCGATGAGCGCTGCACTAGGAGAGCGCTAGCAGCAGCGGGCGAGGCCTAGCAGCAGAGGAATGGGGCTATGGCGGAGCGGGGCAGCGCAGTAAAGGAAAACGCAGGGAGCGACGGGCTTCAGCTGTAGGGAGTTACTAAAGGAGGGGAGGTGAACCCGGACACAGGTCATCTCCAGGTGCATGCGGGGAAGAGGGAAGGACGCAAGGGCAGAGGCGAGTGTCCCGGGGTATCGGAGGAGAAGGACCGGGCTGGGCGCCGTGGCAGTGGAAGAAACAGGGAGTGAACCCGGACGGACGCCTGTGCCGGGTGCGTTCGAAAGTGGAGATGAAGATGGCTCGACTATGGGGGTCGTGACAACATAGAGCTCGCTCGATTCTCGATGAAATCGAGCGAGGGGAGAGACGAGATGGGGTTTTTTTGGTAGGGCGACCTCGATTATGAGGTTAGATTGAGGTGAGAGTTAGTAGGTAGAGGGGTCAGTGGAGAAGATGCTGCGCGGAGATATGGAGGGAACGAAGGTGACGAGAGGTCGAAGGGAGGAAAAATATCTTAGTCGTTTCTTGATGGTTTTCAGTGGGAGAAAGTGCTAGTCCATAGTTTTTGGGGATGGCGAACAGGAATATGGAGTTAGAATTAGAAGAAGGTTAGGAAAAAGGGAGTTAGAGAAAAAAAAGCGTTCCGTGGAGATATGGCCGAGGGAGAAAAGAGAGGAACAAACTCGTGATAAGTCGGTCATTTCTTGACCGATTTCTGCGATCTAAGATGCTACTCGGGGGTTTTCGGGGCTGGCGACCCCGAATCCGAGGTTAGATCTAGAAGAAGGGGGTTACTTTTTGTGCTATAAGAAAATTTTGTTGCGTGCCAGGTGTTGAGGGAAGCGGGATATGGAAAGAGCGGGGGAGTTATAATGTTTGGTTCAATCTTCGAGGAAAAAATTGAGGGAAGAGAGGATTGTGGAGTTTTGAGTTGAGGCAGGGTAGATGGCGATGGTAGATCCGAAGTAGGATGGGCAATATGACCCGTATGTGTTGAAAGGGATGCGTGTTGCAGAACAAGATGTATCTGGCCGCATTCAAGCGGGAGATTCATTCCGATTTTCAGGATCTGTGTGATCTCAGATAATTACCTGGCAGTAGTTTGTACTGGGCGCAGGCACGTAGATGTGAGAGAGAGAGAGAGAGAGAGAGAGAGAGAGAGAGAGAGAGAGAGAGGAGCCTACCTGGACAGCCAGTTGTGTGGGGGGAAGCCTACGGTCGAGCCACGTACCAAACAGACAGGCCGGTCTTGGCTGGTGGAGTGATTTTTGTCCAGTAGGTGCAGTGAACGACCGAGACCTCGGCCTGCTAAGAGCATAGCAAGGATTGACAGATTGAGAGCTCTTTCTTGGTTCTATGGGTGGTGGAGTCTTGTTCTACCACTGTATGCTGTGTTCCAACCACACTAGTACGAGCAGAGGAGGGGCTTGTTCAGTCGCTGTGTTCTTCAGGCTAAGACAGCGCCTGTTTCGACTAAGGATTCAGCATGCAGTATGGGTTGCTGTCGTGGTTGCAGAGTGATCGACGTGTTACAGCCACCTTATGACGACTTGTTGAGGCAAAGCGGGTCTTGTATTTTGACCAGTTCCTGCGACAAGCACTGGTCGAGTTTTGTCATGAATGTGCGGGAACGGAATGACTGAGTAAGTTACAGCTGCCTTTGGACGTGATGAGCGGCCGTTCCGCTAGTAGGCGCAGCCACCTTGTTCAGCAGTGACAAGCTGCTGCCGCTGCCGCTGGCTAATGCTAGCTTCAGCGGCCCTCGACTGTGGCTGCTATTGGAGCGGTACCTTCAACTGGCCAGTTCTGAGTTTCATGACCAGCAGATGCAGCAAACTATTTGGCGGACGCTGGAGCGCTGTGTTTTTAGCCGCTGCCAATTTAGAGATTACCGGTATTATACGACCAAACAGAGGGGATGCTGGTTTTCTCCATCTCGTGGCACTGCTATCTCAGTTGAAGGTTGGGCGTGCAGCTGTTTACTCACAGCAGATGAGGAGCTCGCTGCATATGCTTTGAATGGAGGACCTGTGGGTGTTGTGCTGTGTTGCTGATCATCAAGGCCTAGTACAGTTGTG